TTTTTTTAAAACTAATGTGTTTTTTTTATACCAATTGATTCGTCTCATTATTTTATGCATAAAAGTATTAAGGTAAGATTCCCAAAAATTGAATGTTTTACAAGATATTTTGTATTTTATGTCAAAATACTGTAATTTACAAGCCTCATAACTCGAAAAGTACTTAATGAAAAATAACTTCATTATAGTGTTTTGAAAAGCTCTTGACACCAGCTATTAGATTTTGGAATCAAAAATAGGGGTTTCTATTTAAAAAAACTTAACCTAACCTTGAAATAACCTTGAAGGTCAAGCTCAAGGTCAAATTGAAGGTCACCGTTGAATTCCTTGTTGAAAATTACTTCAGAAATGACCTTGACCTTTTTCAAAAATACCTTACATGAGAAAATATTCAGCCGTCCCGGGACTTAATTGACACCCTGTATATTATATATACATAGTTCGAAAGACAAAGTTTCAAAACCTTAAAAAATCATAAAAATTTATAATTTTGTAGCATTTTACAAATATAATTACGGATAAAAAATCTCATTATACTAATTGTTAATTTGTATAAAAAAAGTTATATAAAAGCAGTGGAAAAGGAAAAGAAAGTTTTATTCCAATAAATAAAACAATAAATTAAATTTATTTGAAAATTATCTGAAGAAATAAAAGAAAATTTTAATTTAGCAATATAGTCAGAAAATTATAATAAAAATTTTTTTTCATTAAATGTATCTTACTTTTGAAATACTCCTCATAGTTATACATGTGCGCAAGGCATAATTAAATAGTTTACTATTCTAGTTTTATTCAAATCTATATAAAGGGTGATTCAAAATAACCGTATGTCTTTAAAGAGACATATTCCTGAGCGTATTCTGAGACAACTTTTCCTTTAGCAAAAGTTTGTGCGGAGCTTAATTTTCAAATTATAAAAGAAAATAGCGTATCGTGAATTGAGTACAAGAAACAAGTAGGGGCGCCGCAACTCACCATTACACACGGGTGTTTACGTGAGGCACCTGCTACAATCAGCTAACACTCACGATACACAATTACTCGAAAAACACGTGTTTCTTTTTTCGAGTAATTTTCACGCACCAGTGATT